GTGTATTTTCATAATCATGTGCATGTTGTCTATCTGAGGCAATCACTTTTATATAACCTACATTCATACATCTAATATATACTATTGTTTGTAATGAAATTAATCAATTTTCTGTCTTATACATACATCATAACATGAATAGTATTTACTTGCGATCTGCATATTACGAGTGTAATGTCGTCACGGAATTGCACCTAAAAGTTGCTCTATTTAAGACGGACTGAAACTTATCAGCGGTTTCTCCGAGAGATACAAGTTGTCATTAACAACTTAATCAAGTTTGATGTGTTACTTGTCTAAATTGCCCTTTTTATGAAAGGCGTTAGTTAAGCAGACATTATATATATGAAAATTCCTTTTTAATTCGGAATTAAAAGATTCAATATAATATTTTAACTTAAAATTATCATAATACAGGTTGACAGTTCTAGCTCTTCATTGACTGATGTTTGCAACAGCAAGAAAAATGATAGCTCCGTCACAGAACCAGTGAACCAGTGTAAACAAGACATTAGGGAAGAAAGAGAAAGAAAAAAAACAGAGAAATATCAACATCCCAAAGGAGTCGTAATCAAAAATGTTATCAAAATAAAGACGTACACGTTCACACATGAAAAAGTACAAAGAAACAAAACCAGTTGTTTCAAAAGTGTGTGCGTCTTTTTCGCCTTGTTCTCCATGGAAAGCTTTGTCAATTACAATCTCACGCTCCCAGATGAGAACAATGTTAACAAAATCGAAAGCATTACAATAACAAGCATAAAACTGTTCCGATGTTTTATGGCAAAAGGAAAAATTGTCGTCTTGTGCAATGAGATTTTAAAAAATGAAATTGATAAATATGACATATTTCATCCTAATTCCTAAATCCTATTTTAATCAACAATAAAATCATTTCAGAATAACATGATCAATATGAGTACCTATCTGAATTTATTTTGAATGAGAGAGAAAGTAAGTTATTTTTCATCTGAAACCAGCATTTTGTAAATATATATTTCATTATAATTCATTTGAACTGTGGATGTAAATATTTAATTGCAGAAATATAGCTTCCATAAGTCACGTACAAACTAGCATTCCATACAATATGCAATTATCAACGATAGCTTGATATGGCCTAATGGACAACAACACAGTTGTTTTAAGCTTTTCTTACTGATATAACACAGTAACGTTGTGAAGCAATTTCATTTCTAAGGGACATTGACGACGAGGGGAATACATTTCTCTAATCAGAAATGACAACTGGTAAGATTGCCGAAATGTAACCGATACTTACCTTTTTAGAATATCTTGGCCTAATAAAAGAACTGATTGAAATGAATGACCTGTCGGTTGGCTGTGGATACTTATTCCTGCTATTAGTCCATAGAGCCAACAAAATAGACTATTTTATAGTTGCATTAACGTTTAAAATTTCTGTTTGTGACATGTCATATTACCTTACTTTAATCTTATTCTACAAAACGTGCGGTAAATATAACAGAATTTATCAATACTCACATAGCTTGTATAATTAATTCTCAATAGCTTGCTAATTATCCAGTCAGCGCAATAGGGTTTCCAGTTGTTACAATGTGACGAAACGGTAACTTGAATTGAGTATCGAACTAGGTTCTCAAGTAGGAATTCTTAATTTGGATAGAATTAACTTCTTCATAGTCTATATGAATTATTATTGATAAGTATCACAATGAAATATCGATGCATATCTGTGGAAATACATGTAGATTCCTATAACCTTATAAGTTTGCATTAATTGTAGATTTAAATGATGTGCTGAATATAAACTTGTGAGATGCGAGTTTACATCTGAAACGCACTACAAATACTTCGTCACAATTTAAATCAAGCAGAGGCACCTCAAGGTTGAGGGCTGGCCCAACTTTCAGAATACTTCCTTTATATGAGATGTACGAAATCATCTTCAACATCTTATTCAGTTCTGTGACATTGATTTCGCTATTTTTGTGTATTTGGTGTATTTTGGTGGAATCCCGTCAAGGGATCTAATTGTGGGAGTAAACAGAAGTACCTGGATAAGGGCGTGGCCATACCACTGCGCCATCCAATCACAGCCCAGATACTTCAGCATGCATTCATTATCAATAAAAAAGTAAACGAATTCAGACGCAAATTGGAATTGGATCGAATATTTTTCAATAAATATTAATGAACAAATATAGGGTTTCCGATTGTGCAGTATTGTATTCGTCACTTTCAAATAAAATCATTAACTGAAAAATACAACAGATGTAATTAGCTCCAATAATTGTTTCATAATTTCGATTAAATCGTTTTTGTTTGATTTTATATGCATACATCAGCAGGTGAAGAATAGCCTAACAGTGAAAATCAGAGGAGGAAAGTGTCAAGCTCACCCCTCGTGGGAAATAGTAGTCATTATAGTTTATTAATCACCAAAGTGATGTGTTTCGACTTTACGTATGATTCTACAAATGACATATTAACTTTTGATACAAATTAAGATAACATACAGTACAGCCACAAATGAATTCAAGTGCATCATGCAGCTGCTTCGTTCTTCTAAGATTCCTAAGTGATGCTAGTAGCCTAAATTTTGATGCCTAGGAGTCGACTAAGGAATATTCAAAGTGGTCGAAATGAATGTCGAAATCTAGATTGGGGTGCACTAGAACCTTTAATCCAGCAAATTTCGTAAATCTCATATATCCGAGTCAAGGGTATTATATCTTAAATGACGGAATAAGTTTGCAATAAATATCCACTAGTTCATCATTTTATTCTACAATGTTCCGACGTTCTGGAAACATTACCGTTGTAAGGATATTTCAACTATGCATCATATGTGACGTCATGAGGTCTCTTTATATAATAGTTTTCTCGTATTTCGTGTAAATCTGCCCCTTTTGGTTTCGCTGTTGGTGAATATCGCGGTAGGCGGCTGACATATAATAGTCTGACTTGCCCTTGAGTTTCAATTCTAGTGGGAAAATACGATGAACGTGGTAAAATTCCAAGATGTTTGGAAAAGACACAAGCAGTGAAATTGAAGAACTAAGCTAGAACAAAGTAACCAACACGATGATGCTATTAACTAGAAATACGATGGTTTTCACGCTAAATACACACCACGAAAGAAAATATAAACAGGTATGCTTCTTATGTTAAAATGATTTTCAGTAATAAAATGTGTGTAATATATCACTGATTAAAGTCGTAGATAAAAGATATTCATATTTTCTTTCAACTGACAACACTGTGCCATCTTTTGCTCCGCCGTGTCACAAAAGACCTAGAATAGAGACGTAGACTGAAGAATCTCCAAGTGGATTTTATCACCAGGACAAATGGAACGTATGAGCCTGTAGGAATACCCTCCCAGGCTTCCTATGAAGGTGAACATTAACTTTTTCTTAGCAATTCAAATATACGTTCATGGTTTTGACAGCTTTAAAATATAACCAATTCAGGAAGTATAAAAAAGAAAACCACAACAGGAGAGTTATCTTTTAAGAACTAGCTGATTGGAATCTAGCCATGAAATGGCGTGTTACGATATGACATTTTATAGCGGAGAAATATGTTTCCTGCGCAAAGTCATTCAATCTTTTGATTGCAATATTTCTCGCATGAAAAAATGTGGTAGTCGTGATACACTATAAGGATTATTCCAGAGGACTTCCATCCATACACATGCATGCGTTAATAAGACTTTTACACGTACCCAGAGGCAAAGGTTTTCTTTAAATTACCACGTTCTGGCAATTATGCTGAAATGTTGTATGCAGTCGATTCCATGCGAAAAGCAAAAGAACAAATACTGTATGAAAAATTGTTTGAAACGAACAACAAGATTGTTTATTTGAATGAATGGTATTTATCAACATACAAAGAAAATCGTAACTTCACTCCGAGTGAAAAAACAGTGATGGATATGGTCAGTCACGTTGGTTTTATTTTACTATCGCTCCATACATTCAATTACCAATTAATTTAATTTAAATAATTTCGCGTTATCGTATACTGCGATAAACAGTTTGCAATATTAATTTTACAATTTTCTTAAAATCTTTATTAATTCAACGCGCATAAAATGGTTACTGTATAAAACCTTCATCATGCCCAATTGAAAATGTTACGTTTTGTTTGTTTTATTCGACATTATTAAATGAGGTCGATTTCGGATGTATCAACATTAGTATCGTGAATGAGCAACAATGTAAGCAGCTCCATCGCTCGAAACCGGTGATCCGAGGGAAAACTCAAATACTTTGTTTCAATCATTGATCAAACTCCTCCACATATAAAAGATTAATTTAACGTTATATAAAGTGTCACAAAACATTTGTGTCAAAACCAGTGATTTTGATAGCCATGTTATGACCGGTCAGTTATTTCGTTGTTGAATTAACAGTTTGTTTTATAGATGTGAAACTGTGAGTTGCATTTGTATCTATACAATGAGGCCAAAACAAATTAATTAATAGTAATAAAACAAATAAAAAGAGAGAACAAGTTTGAAGCGAACAGTGATTTTATTTCTATTTTCTCATAAATAAAATTTATTTAAAAGAATGTTCTTTGCAGTGAAATAAAAAAGTCTATTAAGACATGAATCAATGCAAAAATCTTTTTCGCAGATGTTGTCAAACGTGGTATTTAAATATCTAAAGGGGTCTAACGACCACATAAATATAAAATATGAAGCAAGATATTACAATGGTGAGGACAAGGCCAAAACGGGTATGGTTAATATTACGTGACTTCTTCAGAATACCCTTGCACATGTCCCCTGTCTCCTGAAAAAGTACATTCAGGATAAAACCGGGTGGTCCGGAAGAGATATTTTATGAGTAATTATCGCTATCATTACCCCTGTTATTCAGGTCTTACAGATGGTTATCTAACACTTTATCTAAACCTCAAGCTACCTTATTCTGATTTATTCTGAATAGAATTAAAACTCAGTTGTGATAATGGCCATTAAGAATCTAAAGTAACAACTTTAGTGTCTATGGCATAATGGCATATTGGACTTCACACGCGGCATATGAAACGTCAAAATCGCAATACTTAGAAATCCATTCCGCATTTGATTGGATTTCGGCACAACGTCTTTTTCCTCTGCGGTCAGGCTCATCTGGCCCCCAGTTTGCATTTGTTATTGATCCTCCTGATTCCCAAATCCAATTCATGATCTTTCCGGCTTGAGCAGCAATCCACATTCCACTGATATCTGTAAATAAAATCATTATCCTCTCTTCTATATCTACGACATTCTACAGCACCTACTCTGTAACCCACAATTCTGAATCCACCTTATGACGTAAAACTAATTCACCCAGGTGATTATAGCTAATATAATGAAAATGATATTTGAGTGGATGTTATTTCAATGTGCCTGTAATAAAACACTTTTTTAAATTGTGCTATGAAATGAAACTTTTATTGGATCCATTCAATGGACCGTCTTAGGCCGAATATACCCTTTCAACTAACTTACGAAATAGTAATTCCTTTCGCTCGAGCTTAAAATACTTAATTTCAACAATAAGAGAAAAAATCTGATGTCATTGGACGCCTATCAGTCAGTTAACTTATGTCTTATAGATAAGTATAAACAAGCTTACCTCTGTCTCTAAGTTGCGATCGGAGAAAGTTGTTTACCCCCTTGTTATCAATTCTCAATTGCGAAGTGTTCATCTGACGGCAAATTTCCTGTGCGAAACACATGAAGATAGGTAAAACTTTCAACAATTGTTACAAATTCTCAGATATTGGTCATTAAACTCATTTTAATTGGATAATATTCATGATGTGATCCTCAATATACTCACGAACTGCCCAGTCATTCTGACATTAGCCCAAATATGGCGGCTTTCTTTTCTGTTATATTATCTGCTGATATTATAACGGCATGCTCAAATGTATCATTGAAATATGAAAGATGAAGAGTACGGGGATGCTTATCTTAATGGCTTACTCTTTCAAATTAGTTTTTCAGTTAAGTCTAAAGTCAGGTATATTCTCAAATTAGGGATCAATTTCAATTATAATAACAAGACTGGATAAAATCAGGTGTCGTATGACATTGTCTCCTTCCTTTACTTGATATTTATATACGTATAGTGACAATAATTCCATAAAAATAACACATAAAGCCGAATCCCCACTTGACGAAACGTACTATCTTTTGTTTAACTGGTATTGTTCTACTTTTGCCTTTTGCGTTCAGAGATAGGCATGACATATTTTAGGTTAGTACGCTAGGTTGTATGTAAATTTTAAGAAGTGTATTTCTGAGAAACGTTGCATCAATATATTAGTGGACTGTTACGAAACATGAGAGCAAATATTAATTTACAAAATGCTAGTGTTGGATAAACTTCTGTTTCCTCTCAGGCAAAATAACTTTACATAGATCTTATAGAAATCAGGATGATTTTTTAAAAAAACTTTTTAATGAAAGTTGAAGGTCATTCTTTATTAAATTAATTGTTATATATCACACTTTCATCCGTTTTTACGTTACAAAATCCTGGTGTCTGTAATTTGGTCGACAGGATTGAACCTTTAACGATGTGCATTTGGACGTATTTTGTGCTCATTAGTACGTCTAGTGGGTAAATGTTGTCCCTGATTGAACTGACGCCTTATTTCCTTCGTACTTTGCCATGAGTCTCCGTATACATCTTTTCTTTTGTTGATATATTTTACCCTAGTGTCATCAACTTTAAGTTGCTTTAATACGTTATCATTTCCTATAGCTCTTTCATATTTGCTTTTCTATTTGAGAATTTACTTCTTACTTAGGAAGACATACATATCTATACCGTAGCCTTGAGAACAAAGCTTGAAACTTGTGCTTGATGCACATGACCGCCCTATATCGGTGTTATAAAACCAATTCCAATGCGACCTGAAAATGAGACTTTAGAAAAGCTCTTCAAACATGAAGAAGGAACAAAACAAACGTGAAAGTAATTCCGCTTCCAGAAAGACTGCAAATTAATTGAAATTCACTTCAATATTTGAATAACACTGTGACCAATGTATGGAGTGCATGGAAAATGTGCCGCCGGACACATCGATGTCTGAAATGTTTACGTGCGTAAATGACGATGAAGCTACACGTGTGCCAGCAACAGCTAAGGCAGAACATTTGGCCAAACCAATATATGAGTTTTAAACTTTCATTTAATGATAGCGTGGAGATGCAAGAAGTATTTTATGGGGGAATAATTTATCTTTAAACGCGAAAGGACTATCGAACTTTTATGTATCCAAATTTCCCGATAAAGCATTCAAGTTTCTTCTATTTATGACACAATGACAATTTCCAACCTTGCGGTTTTTTCCCATTCATTCAGAAAAGGATGATAAAACCATAGTACTGAGGTAAGCTTTGTTTATCGTTAATGAAGCCATTTAAAGATTTTAACACACATGAACTCTGTGACCTTGAAAGTGGGTCAAGATCATTCATCCTACTAAAAACCAAACTAATCCAGCATGTCTTAATCCGACAATAGTCATAATAATACAGTTCCTCGGTCATCCAAAATAGCAATTGTATGAAATAGAATAGTCACAAATTTCATTGAAATGTAGATATTGAAGTATAAAGTCTGGAAACTTTATAATAATATATATAATAATAATAAACGATATAATAATTCATATCTTTAGAGTGTATTTTTTAGTTCGTTTGAAGTAAAATTGTGCATTGATGTTTCCTTTAAAAGTGATGCGGCTCTGTCAGAATTCACGAAAATATGCGTCTAACTTTCCTTCAGGAATTATTTACGTTTTCGTGTCCTGGAGTAGATAAATGCTGTTAGCAGAATAGAATAAGCGTGAATTATGAATGGAAATCGATCCAGTCAGTAAGTGACGACATTTTGTTTGTAATGGAATCAACAATTTGTAATTAGAACTGTCATATAGACGTTTAGGCTATTATAGCAGACGAAATTGACAAACTTGGTAATCATGTATGTAATGGCAATAATAATAATTTTGCGGCAAAATTACACGTTTAACAATAAATGTGTTCCGTTATAATTTGATTGCTCTGTAAAGTTACTTACTTTTTGTGCATGTCTTACTTAAGTCCGAGGACCGTGGATATTTCAATTCACTATTTATAGATACCGAAGGGAAATATTTATATATTTATTTTATCTATATTCATCTACTCCAACAACTACTGAATCACTGGGAGTTGTAGTTTACAGTCTCATCTACTACAGTTTGGCGTAGTAATGGTATATCGGCGAAAACAACACAGAACATAAGCATTGCATTTATATCTACCAGGATTTTTTTCGGTGGAAGTCTCACCTTGACCAGCGAATGTATATTCATATGCTTGACCAGATGAGCGGTCATAGCCTGATACATTCCCTTCTCGTTAACATATAAGAAAGTGAGTAGACTGGAAATATATGATTATACATTGTATTCTTATGTAATGTTATTGGCTTTGTGTATCACAAGGCTGTGTGCTGACCTGCTTCGCTAAGAGTTACCCTAACAATCTATTTCTTAAATTCCTGCGGTTTTGAGGTTATGAAATCTTATGTGAAATGAGGCTGAATATTTAATTCTATTCATTATGCATGGCTGTATTCAAATATGAGAAAAATTATTTTAAAATATGATTTTGTCCGGTATTCTCATGTTTCAGATTTATTGTCTTTGATTAGTTCATGGCAGTCTATCAGCAAACAAAGTGTAAGATTCCCGTGCTTAAGCTACCATCTGCTCTTGTATTCACATACCGTTCATACATCATAATCAGGTTGTATGAATTCTACTGAGGAAGATACTTTGACAACAAATATATAAAATGAAGATCTTATCTAATAGTAAATATACCATCCACTTTCTAACTCAGTAAATCATGCAGATTTTTAGTCTTTGTATTCAAATGATAATGAAAAGCTTACCTATGATCATAAGTAAAGAAAATAATTACCCAGTTCTTTTTAGTAGTCATCTTTGCCCCTGGAAAGAGGTAACACTTGTGTCTAAAATGCAACCAGTCCGCAGAGGGGCATACTTCTGAAATGTAACAACGGCCAATTAGTCAAAATCAATAATGAAGGAGGTGTTTCTCTGGATACCTAAACACCGAAGCATTATTCTTTTTGCTTAATAAAACAAAATGCTACAGAAGGGTAAGATATTAAAAATGCTTGTCATATAGTTATCCTTAAGAGCTGCCTTATGCTGCCATACCCTATGCGTGTGGAGCACTATGTTTACATCAACCAATGTGTATATAGTACTAATATGCCCGTGTTGATATAGTCAACCATATAAAGGCATGTGTGATACGGTTGTTCTACCCGCGGATGTAGAATTTTGGGTCATAATCGAAGATTTGCAAAGGTTCTGACTCACAATTCTGCACCTACTGGTAATACATCCAAATCCCTCGCACATATGGTAGACTATTTTCCCCGTCCATTTTTTTCAAATAAAGATGAAATCTTATTCGGCGTGGCAAATCCATATATTATACATATATGTACATTGTTTTACTTAACCATACACGTTTTTTGAAATAAAATGAGAAAATAAAGATATATCAAATGTACACTATTAGAAAATTCACAGTAATGATACTAATAACATAGATAATCAATTTCATTATATCAATCATTTCAATAAGTGATATAAATACATATGTATTGATATAATAAAATCAAACTACTTTTTATCATTCGTTTATTTTGTAATGTCCATAAATCGAGAAATATAAATATCATTAAAAGAATTATTGAAATCACACACGATTTATTGATTTCATGAGACATTCCTAATTATTGATATCATTAAGTCGATTTCGTAATATCATTTATTCGAATGATTGATATAAATTATCATAGACTTTTTATAATATCAAAAATTCAGATAAGTGATACGAATAAAAAACATATTCAATAATTCATTTAATGATTTCAAAAAGAATTTACATGTGGTATCAATAATAAGATTTAGTTATATTGATAATTTAATATCAACAATTTGAATTAGTGATATCATCAAATATTTATTGATATCACTATATCGAATTATTGATATACATTGACTCAGTGATATCATCTTTTGGAATGATAGATATCTATTTATATAGTGATATCACTTTTTATTGATATCATTAATTCAAAGATTAATATCGCCAATTCGAATTATTGATATGTATATGTTGCTGTTTCTTGTACGCAAAGTCACAAAGAGACCAAACAACTATACCTCGTGCAAGACAAATATGTTGCCCATTTTTCTGGTCGATACAATCTTCAGTTTCAGAACAACTGTCATGTGAACAGCTCCGACTGTTTGTCTGAAATGTGATGATTATGAGATAATTTAAGTCATTAGAATTCTAAATGATGCACCGAATTCTCAAATATATTTAAGTTTAAGTTCATTGTTATTGCCATATTTCATAAAAAGGAAAATTTAACTTGAAATCAGACAGGTCGTGATGAAATTTAGCTCTTCCCGAAACTTTTTATTGTGGATAATGTATGTCTTGGAGAAGTCAGTGGTTAGTTCTGATAGTAATATCCGCGTGTATAATGGTAGCCTCCTCTTAAATGTCGACTTGTGCTTGTGGCTACTGAAATAAATTTCATAATCTAACAACCCTTTATACGTAGTTTGTGAGTCAAATATGGTGAAAATCCATTACCAAAAGCAATGTCTGTGTGTAAGATTACAGATACACTATCAGGGTTTATGTTAAGGTCAAACTCTTTTTTTGTTTATATATGTCACATTGCCTAACCACTGTTAAACAGTTATCGATCATCGTGGAATTTATTATCACGTATTCACTACAGTGATATTTTCATTAAAACGACCATATATAAAACCAATAATAGAGCTGGGATCCATAGCAATTAATTATCAGGAAACCTGGAAAACAAGAAGTGGTAAAAACTAAAGAACGTTATGTGCACTATATATTGAATTTATTACCTGAGTGCATAGAGTAATATTTCTTTACAAATACTATTTAGTTAATTTGTTCGTGGTTGATTTCGGTTTAATTGAATTTGGTATGTAACTGGAGGGCTTTAAAAGGAATATGATAATCCCATAACGTATTTTTTCTCTAAACACCCCAGTTTTCATGTCAATTTGCAATGATCTTAAATAAAAGTGACATAGTTTAACTACCATGCCATATCTCTTAAGTACTTATATGAAACGGGTCACATCTGATTGGCATTTGCATTAGGAATTCAAAACAACAACAAAATACCAAAATGGTAACATAATCATAATTCAAACCCGAATTCCATAAAACAACGGCAAAATATGAACAACAAAGAAAGGTTTATGCGGAGACTCCTTAAAAAAATATAAGGAGAATGAAACAAGCGCTCTTGGTATTGCTTTTATTTTTGTTCCTTTTGCAGTTGATGTACACACCTTGCTCGATTGGATGTCGGAATTGTATATCGTATTATTCAGCATAGGAATAAGAGCATGTCAGGCGGTATATACTAGGATGCACATGTGGTCATTATATATTGTCTTAAAATCGGGAAACGGTCAAACTTAATTCTATGATATAAATATATTTTGATTTGTCCTCTTCTCTCTCACACAAATTATGTTTCTGGTTACCATCTGCATAATTTTACATCGTACAAAACTTATCGAATGATTAGTCTTTTCTCGTTGTACATAAGGTAGAGTGGCATTCCTATATTTTTCACATTTTTTGTGTTTGTTTTGAGATGCTGTTGTGTCCAGGGTATTGTTATTGGAGTAATGATACATAATTTCATTAAATCCAGCAAAAGATTTTAAAAGATTCTTATACGATGATGTATTTATGTCTGTGTGTGAATGCTTAATATGTATAATTTATGTTTAAGCCTATCTCTTTATAAACATGTATTTGAAAATGTATGTTGGGAGAGGGCTCCAATAAGTTGTAATAACTTGTGCCCAATTCCCTTGTTCAAATTTATTTTGGCAATAAAATATGTTTAAACTAATGATACATAAATGAATAGATAAAAGTTTCCGTAATGTCCTCCGCATAACAAACGCTACAAGAGCGATAAGATAATCTTACAAACAGTAAAATAAATATTTTAAGACTTCCACGTTGCTAATTTTCATTACACTTTGGTTTTACGGACATACCTCCGATGGTCGTTTGAGATATGTTCCCAGTCTTAGGAACCAAACGATTTTCGAAGTTCACAGTTGCGCTCGCAAATTATACATCATTAAATATTTTTATCTTCAAGTAATCAACCGGAGAGCATTTAATTGCAAAAAAAAAATGGTAATTATGTTGATTGATTTTTTTTTCTTTTTTTCTTTTGCCAATAGAATATCGACTATTTCACAATTAAAATATTGCAGAATTCCCAATTCCTTGCGAGAACCTCTTTTCCATATGTTAGACATTCCATTAAGATTACTGGACTTCTAAAAAAAAAGCAGTAAAAGACAAGTCGTGTAGCTTTAACGTCTCAAATTTCACGTTTGCTATAGTGATACGTTTTTGAAAGGGTAGATTTAAGAAAGTAATTGAATTGCAAAAAATAAGTATGTTATTTAGTTTCCCTTTTCGCTACCGGCGTTAGAACCTAAAAGAATCAGAATTATTTATTTTGATATTTCCAGAAAGCCAAAGTTATTTTCTGTGAGATTTTTTCAGAATTTTCCACGAATTTCTTTCAGTATTTCATTGTAATAGAATGATAGTATAATAAATGAAGGGTGGTTCAACACTCCTAATGTAGAACTTTATGGTTGGGTCCTAGGCTGAAACCTTTTATAGCATCCGCAGATTTCTTAACAAAAACATAATTAGGAAAAAAGGAAACTCAACACAGCGATGACGTTTTTGCGGGAAGTTTCTACATGTTTGTGCCGCTATGCGGTCGTCATCAGGAAAATGTAGACAAGTCTCACTTAGTGTCGTCGTTGTGTTGAGTTCCCTTTTTGCTAATTATAGAATGAAAGTAAAATTATGAGAAACAATTAAATATTTTATCGAACAATTTTATTCATATATATCATATTTACCTATTTTTTTCATTTTCTGTTATAAATTCCACCCATTTAACAATTGTTACACGAGAGAGAACGAGTTATTGTCGTGTCCTTTTTAATTTTGTCAATCATCAGCACGCAGAAACGTTTTTTCGAATGTTTGAAAGTAAGATCCTGAAATTGTGTCGCGATTATTCAGTTGAACAAATATGGTAGCCCTTCATCCCAATATGAGATAGAAGGAAAATCAATACCCTGTGTCTTTGATGATTAAGAAGAAGTCGTTTAAAGATGTTTGACCCCCGTGACCGTGGGTAATTCGATTTTTTTTTTTTTTTTTTTTTTTTTGGGGGGGGGGGGGGGGGGGGGGGGGGGGGGGGGGGGGGGGGGGGGGGGGGGGGGGGGGGGGGGGGGGGGGGGGGGGGGGGGGGGGGGTGGGGGGGGGGGGGGGGGGGGGGGGGTTGTTGGGTCACAAATTCGGTAGCATTAGTCCCATCTTGCTTTTCAAGTCCAGTATCAGTACCCTGTGTCGTATGAATTGAAACGTTTACAATCAATTTGTACAAATCCGATTGTCAAAACCGGTCACAAATCCTTGTAAATTCCTTCTATTTAACTTTCAATCTTTAAATCAACAAGATGACACCAACATGGACATTTTTCTACTAAGCTGCATGATACCCGTAATGGTTTCAGTATCCTTATTGTAAATTTTCAATTTCTGGATATCAACATATCTGCATCCTTAACATTTTTACATCTCACAGCTGATTCGATATACAATATTTTCGTTTCAATAGATGCAAGTTGATAGAAATTATGGGGATGTTTATGGTCGCCATAGTGATCTCATCGAGAAATATTCTATTACTTTGTGCTGTATGAAGCTAGACGTGTTCGATACTCGTTCGTTTGCGTGTTGGTTCCGTTGTTCTGTACCATGTTCTAATTTGAGAACGTGCTTGAATTGACCAAAATTTACATGGCGGTTGTCGTCATTGGAACACCAGGGCCCGTATTCATGAAACCGTTCTCATGCTCAAGCATGAATTTTGTGCTCAAGCCTTATGTCTTGTTTAACTTAAAAATGAATAAATATGACTTATTTTGCCGAAGATTTAAAAACAATTTTGAAAGGACTTCAAGTCAAAGCTATATTCAAGGTTTAAATTTGACATTTGTATTATTTTATATTATTTAGGTGAATTATAAAAAAGTTTGCTTGAGCACAAAATCTATGCTTGAGCATGAGAATGGTTTCATAAATATGGGCCCTGGTCTTAGTTTCCATGTACTTTTTTCAGAGGTCTCGAGTCAAGCCTTCTTTTGTTATCTTTTGTCCCATTTTTTGGAATTTGTTTTTGTATAATGTTTATGTTCACATGTTGGTATTTGCTTATTATTGTTTATGTCGGACGGCTTATGAAAGACAGGCGGAAGCTGCGCAAAGGCAAAAAGTTCACGTCCTTTTGGCAGGTAAGCTAATAGACGACAAGAAAGGCAAATCGTCAATTTTTAACAATACTATTCAACAGTAGAAGGCAGATAACGCTCTCAGTGAAGAATTACTCGCATGGATAAATGATCAAATCGCAAAACATTCTTTATCATCTGAACTAACATTAAAATCTTACCTGTACAGTTGAAACGGTTATAAGTGAAAGAGGCTTCTTCAACTCTTCGTCGAACACCATCATGAGGTCACATGTCAAATGGTCCCGATCATATTTGATTTTCTTACACAGTTTGTATCGTTTACATACTTTAAGACATTGTATAACTCCGATTGGATATAAGTGCATGAAGGACTTGTAGAAAGGCTCCAGTTCCTTGTGATAACTGCTGATGCACAGACCCTGTCCGTCAAGAAATGAAAATGCTCTGATGATGACTATTGCTGCCAGCAAAAGATTCTTCTGTGAATATTGGCACATGTTGATGTCATTAGATTTCGCATTCTAGGGCATAGGTGAATTGTCCTGTTTGTAAAGTTTTACGTCTGCTAATATACTTAGAGAAATTAACATATCTAATATCACCATGACATTAACTTATGTGTTCGCTATTTATTTATTCCGTGTGATTAAAAGCACATTTACGTTACAGTACAATAGATTCTCTGTCATTCGGAACAAAAAAATGGTGATACAAAATACACATACATACGTAAGTTCTACAGAAATTTGATGGTATGAGTGAGCAATAAATACAATGGAGGAATAAATCCATGAGCTTTGTCACTGAAACAAAATATAAATTCCAAACACTGACCTGATGAGTATTAGTTAGTGTCTAAATGAATGTGGACCTACCAAGATCAATGTCTTTTGGGTTATTTGGTTAAAAAAAGATAACTATTTTAGTGTATACATCAACATGTCCAATAAGCATCTGAACCGAACATGATATTTCCTGTGTGTCAGTGTGACCAAAATGAACAAGTTGTGTCGTCATGTATGTCAATTACTGTGTACCAGTGTGATCAGAGGAAATGAGGGTGTGTGTCGTCATGTATGTCAATTACTTTGTCCCTTCACGACCAGAGTAAACGAGAGTGTGTTTTCATGTATGTCAATTACTGTGTCCTTGTGTGAGAGTGAACGAGAATGTGTGTTGTCACGTGTGTCAATTACTGTGTCCCTGTGTGACCAGAGTAAACGAGATTGTGTCGTCATTTATGTCAATTACTTTGTCCCTTCACGATCAGAGGAAATGAGGGTGTGTGTCGTCATGTATGTCAATTACTGTGTCCCTGTGTGACCAGAGTAAACGAGATTGTGTCGTCATGTATGTCAATTACTTTGTCCCTTCACGATCAGAGGAAATGAGGATGTGTGTCGTCATGTATGTCAATTACTGTGTCCCTGTGTGACCAGAGTAAACGAGAGTGTGTTTTCATGTATGTCAATTACTGTGTCCTTGTGTGAGAGTGAACGAGAATGTGTGTTGTCACGTATGTCAATTACTGTGTCCCTGTGTGACCAGAGTAAACGAGATTGTGTCGTCACGTAATTTAATTACTGTGTCCTTGTGTGACCAGAATGAACGAGAATGTGTGTTGTCACGTGTGTCAATTACTGTGTCCCTGTGTGACCAGAGTAAACGAGATTGTGTCGTCACGTATGTCAATTACTGTGTCCCTGTGAGACCAGAGTAAACGAGATTGTGTATGCAAACCTGGATTTTGGTCACTTCGACGGAATCCCTCTAGTCTTTTCCTTGTAAATATGCCTAAAGGAAACTCTCGCAGGATTAATAGTAATAGTACATTTCCGCGGTGGCGGTCATTGCAACAATATGCTTGAAAGTAAAGGTGTCCATGACTGAAATTTAAGATTTCCGAAATAATTGTAAGTAAACTGATTGGGAGAAGAGAGGGTTTAGGAGTTGATATAAACAAAGTGACGAGGTACCTTGGTAGCAGGCTGAAATCAGTTAATATCCTGGAAAAAGACTGGCATACTCAATAGGAAAATCGATAAAAAAACTGCTTGTGTCCCTCTTCTCGAATAGATGTTAAATCCTTAATAATTTACAGTTAAATGAAGATATGGGATTTATCCATATCGATTTCCAATAGCGATGTACTCATGCTTCACAAGTTCGCGTGCTATATAGATAATTGAAGAAAAAATAGATTTATAAAATAATTATCATTTACAACAAATGTCTTATTATCCAGTAAGTTTCATAAAACATTGATTATCATTTAGATAGAATGTGTTTTATTTTCAGAATTTGTATCTTCCTATATACGTCATTCAGAAATGGTATATTTCTTTGGAACTTTGATTGCATACTTCAGGAAATATTTTCATGAAAAACAAGGAAAAAATACCTATTGACATTCATACTGTATTTCATATTTCATATGTGTTGATTGTATTGTAAAAATTTAGGTCAAAAACATAAGCAGCGTTGCAAGTTAAAAAAAAAACCTTTCATGTTTTAACTTTACAACATTAAACTATGTAGCCTTGGTAAATACTAACTGCAATATACACTAGGCTTAAGAGAGCTTTTATTAAGCTCAACCGGTTGACCGTTAGACTAGTAAGTCCAGGTTCGAATCACAGCGGAGGCATTGAAACAACAAATGACCTCTGTTACATGTTTATAGAACAAACTTACATTTTCAGAATGCTTCTGAGACAATCCTAGAGACACTTCCGTACTTTCATCGTACCTAAGAAAATGCAGACATTTTTTTTTTTAAGATTTCGATCCTGAATGGAAACGAGCGTTAAAACATCTCGGTTCTTTCCTAGATACGAGAACCAGAAATCGTGTTGTCGTCTTATGGGACATTTCTGAACCATTCTGAAAACTAAAATTCGATCTGTCAATAACATACTCATGGAATGGTCCTTCAAATATAGAGACGAGGGATAAAAACCAAAATAGAAAGTGCTCTGAATCAAAACAGACAATATTGCTTTACATTATCTTTTTTTTTCAAATTTGCTTTCATTAGTTGATTTATGTCGGTTTGATATCTAACAAGTATTTAATTTCAAACAGGAAAAAAAATACGTAATGAAAAATACTGCATAGGGTAAATGTACTTATTTTGGCGAAACCAAATTATAACGCCTGATCAATTTTTAACAAATTATTGCAATTATAAATATGTACACCCACAATAATTGCCATATAAACAACAAACAGAAACTTCCCGTTCAGATTGGATAAGGTGGAATACAGAGCGACATAAATCTAGTGTTCTTATAGAAGAAATGCTTTTAGGAGAGGGAGTTCAGGGTAGGTGTTAAGCTGTTCGATGTTCTTTCACATCCACATATTTCTCGAGTAAGAAGGTTTGTTTGAGTGAACCACTATAGAAGTGAACCATAAACAATACTTGTATTAATTCTAGTGAAGTTTATGAATCCATTATAAACGAGGTGTGTCCGCATCCTTATAATGAATCGGCAATTATTATTGTAGTGTATGTTTGGGAGCAGGATTAATAAGTAGATTTCTTCCTTAGAAATTCGAAGTAACGTTTGGATAGGGTTTCCTTTCTTATCGGGCAAGCTTATTTATTTATTTATTTATTTATTTATTTATTTATTTATTTATTTATTTGCAGTAAATTTATTAATGTCTTCAGGCAACGATCAAGTTCTTGGACGTCATAGGCAAAATGACAATTTTATCATGTTAAACGTGACGTGTGACATCAGGATCAAGGAATACAGATTTTGTTTTGTTTTCCTTTCAAATTTCAAGTTACTAATTCTTTTAAGAATACGGGTTTTGGCCATGATTTTTCATAATACCATATTTCACTATAAAATGATATAATATTGTTTAAAGTTCCGGTATCCCGTTTCTCTCGACACACAGATGACCGTAAATGCTGGCCCCGTACCCTTTAGCTTAATTTTAATGATGGTGAATATGCAAATACTGCATACGAAACTGGATCACGTGACGTGTGAAAGTTTTACGTTGTCGATAGTGTCTTCTTAATGCTACTAAATAGGTCACTCCTATATTTATTTACAAATGTTCACAACTATTTTAACGTTAAAACCACCTCCGTATAAAGTTATATTTTGCTTAATGACAGCGGGAAAAAAGTTTCGTTCTCTGTTTTTTTTAATTTGGTTTTAAAAGGAAGCCACAACCAAACACGGCTATATGCGTTACGTGGACGGGCTTGTCCGAGATGATTCGTACCCTATAGCTAAAATAACTACAGTTAATTGTCATTTTAACTAGATTTGTATTGGTATGAAATATGGTGAAAGCAATTGTCATAAAAATGACATGGCTGATTGTTACATAATGTACATTATTGTGTCGCAGCATTCCTCTCGCGGATATATACATATATATATAGTACTCGGAATCAAACTGATAACCAAATCAGAAAATTTGTCTTTTTTCAATAAAGTTTCTCATTAGCGATTAAAATGATACATTTCAAGACCAAATCAAACTCATTTTTATTTGTCGTAATATGTAAGTGGTTGGAAAAGAGATAACCTGATAACACTCTGTCAAATGACAGCGAAACCGAATCAACATCATAACTTGCGGTACTGTTTGGACCTGTCACAAAACAATTTGATACTTCTGATTCTCAGAAGCCGATATCAGAAATAAAAATCGGAAACACCTGTATAACCATATTCAACGTTAAATATCCAAAAGTTATTTCATAGCAGTAACAGTTGATGGTATCATGATGATGTATTGGGAGATGTTACAATGGTATGATGTATATTGAATATCGCCAGCTCACGATCCTTCGATGTGGATTTAACAATTTTATTTGTTCAAGTTTTTTATATGACGATATATAGTGTTTAGTTAAAGTAGAATATTTCACTTTCAGTCTAGAGTATAGCGTAAAAACGTGATCATATGGGATGTGACTGCCTTCTACACTAGTGTTTACATACTATACGCGGTCAATCGAAGTAACACATTGATGTCACATGTACCACGTGACCGATCCACTCATTAAAAACTTTCTCATGAGTAACAAGTACTTTCGATTGCCCAAAATATGTGTCAGGATATAATCAGTTAACGAGCTATTAAGATTACGGTGTGACAGAATTTAACGAAAACTTAAATCGTGACCAAATCCTTTCAAGCAACTCTGAAAATGAAGATTTCTACTATAAACTATTGTGGTTTCCGAAACAAATACGACAACATCAAATGATCGTTGGCTTGAAACGATGAGTTATACATGCCCAAAAATAACAAACTCGTGGGAATCATGATATGTGAAGTTTGATCTCGTTTCGTCTTTAGTAGGCCACATTTCACATTAACTGTCTACATGGCTCTTGCCATCTTGATGAATATACAGTAGCACAATTTGTTGTCGATTTATGTTTATAGATGTAGGAATATCTCAGACAATTTTGAATTCAAATGTAAGGTAATCACCAATGCTATCGTGGCTGATTTGATGCCAAAATGCATCCTTGAGTAACAATAACGACCAAATGGTGTATTGAAATGTTGTGAATGTCTTTGTCGAGTTTCCTATGCAAGCATCTAGTGCTTGCAATCTTGACTGAATTGTTGATAATGATCTCATTTGCTAGCTTGGTTAAAGTGTACCCTAAGTGCAGTTTTATATTTAGATATAATGTTAAGAATGCCGTAAAAATAATAATAGCGAAAACCCCGTCAAAATCCGTCGCCCCAGTGTCCAGTTATTAGAGCTCAAAGTTGTCGATTTTCACCTGTCCGCTCAGACCTAATCAGCGTAATCGTCATTTCCGCGGAATCGAGGCGCTTCCACTCGTGACGTCATAAGTTCAACAGAAATGGCAGCCAACATGACTGACAGTGACAACGACACCGTACCTGATTGCGATTTGAACATGAGTTTTGAGGATTCTGATTATGATGTGGATGATATTTCTGAAGACGGAATCCAGCCCTACCGATTTGAACCGGAATTACAAGACGATGTATCCAGTGAGCAGGAAAATAACATCGTCATTTAGTCGAACTCTTTTCGGCGGAGTCCGATCCATTGCTTTCATTACACTATAACGAATTGGAAATGAAGTTCCGTCGAAGTGTTTTGAACATAAATATGAATATTTTGTTAGACCTTTCCACATGTCTCTCTTCTTCCATCCGTGTTAGTGTTAGGACGGTGTCGGGAATTTTCGTACCGAAGAATTTTCGTCCGAGGGGAATTTTCGTAGCACTATGGATATATATAGATAGAGTGTCATCAACCAATTATAACACCCTCCGCTGTGTTGATAATAAAAAATTGATGTTTTAGAAGTTTATACAATGATTTGACTGGTTTTTACCCAAGTACTGGTACGTGTCTGTTGTTAGCCGACAGGCGTGTCGTCGCACCATTGTTTTTTAAAGCCACAGAGGCGCTAATTACCTAGGTGTGGTTATGAGTTTAGATAACATCTCTACACATAACCTATTCTATAGTACTACTATATAATAGAAGTACGAAACGGACGGACCGTTAGGACAACCGCACGCTACACACCGCTTCCCTCCTCGATAGGAAGCCATTTTAGCGGATTTAAGCGCTAATTCACCGACTCCTCGCTCACTACCTTAATATTGCGAAGATGTGAAGTACTTTCACGTAAATAAACAAAGAAATTACCTCGGAAAATCCCAAAAAAGATCACAATCACATGTAGCACAGTAACGCCAATATGGCTGCATCAGCAAAAGCGTTGAACTTATGACGTCACAGGTTTGGATGCCCGAAAACGAGGTCAACGCCACTCAGCCAAAGGTGTGTTTTTCAGAAAAGTCGCAATCTCCCAGTAACGGAACATTCCACGGCATTCGCGTTTTCAGCAATGTGTATTTTATGTACAGAACTATTTTTTGATCTCAACATAGCTGACCTCTCAGGGTACACTTTAAGCTTGACCAATGAACTCTAAAATCTAATGAAGGTGTAGAGGTCAATAGTGTTATGGTTTTGTGAATATGGACTTAGTCTGCCTAGAGGTTCATGGGATATCTTGCTTTTTTTCTGCCTGTTTTTTAATGTCGATACTGAGATTAAACCTTAACCATCAAAATGTTGTCAGATAAGGAGTAATACTGGATTGTGTGATGTTATTGTGCCATCTGTCCGAGGGTTCAGGAATTATTTCATACACAAGGATTGTAATTCAAAGTGGTTAAGGGTTAAGTATCCTTGGGTTAATTGGAATCAATTTGATGGAGATGGTAGGTATCTGCCCTCTTGGGCAGGAAGGGCGGGGCCAAACATGAGAAGTAGAGCAAACTCTTAAAAACCCTGCTTCTTCTGTAGGAATACCTGGATGTTTTTCTCGATTTGTTCTGAAGCAGTCTTTGAGAAGGGGAATCATTTTTTTTTTGTATAAACGGCGGATCCCAGCCGCCTGAGGCAGGACTTATTTTATATGAACAGTGGGTTTCGGCACCCAGGGACGTGAGGGGATAGGATCGAATAGTGGAAACTCTTTAAAAGTTCATCCTGTGTTGGAATTATTAATTTTGTCCATAGTTGATCTTAAGCACCCTTGGATGACGAAACTTATTTTAGCACAAACAGTGCAACTAACTCCCCTGGTGAAAGGGGCGGAGCCTTATTGGAGAAATAGGAAAAGGGTTTTGAAATCTTTTAGTTTAAATTAATAACTTTAAGCAAAATAAACCAGATAATTGATACATGGTGTATAGACCTGTTAAATAAACCCGATATCAACATGTGTTAATTACAATTACCAATACTGTCGATTCCTCATGAAAACCTCCAACGACATTAAAATCTAAATTCTTTATTTTCTCACTGCATATATCCAATCAAAGGAGATCATCGCACCTGTCCATCTTGTAAACCACATTCGCTTTAAGAAACAGGTTGTGTCATGTCAAGTCACCTACTGGTGCCTTCTCCCGTATTGAAGTTTTCCACGTCTCAATAGTAACAATCCAGCTTCCTAAAGATTTCTAATGATTCAAGAACATACTATATCATATCTATGCCATGGCTAATATAAATTGAAGAGCTATTTAACGAGATACAAAAAAAAAGTTATATTAGTTATATTTTTCTCGCACATCATTAATGCTGGTTCTATTTGCGGGCTCTGTCATCATTAGTTCGCCAGCTCATATATAGTAGTTTCAAATCTTCAAATAATTCAAAATAAACGTAACAGGAGAAATTAAATTTTGACAGAACAAATACAAAACTTTTTCAAAATCGCGACCGGAGTTCCTTTATAAAGGTATCAAAATTACATGCCAGTACTGTCTATGCACTAAAGCCATTGCAGAAAATAGGAGGGCAATTGACTAACAACGCCTTACGCCCTCGATCCGTTGTACTGTATTATCCATTGCACAGACGGGTCCAAGACAGACGCTATCTTTCCATGTATCCAGCCAGGCCACGTGTCGGACATACTCAGAAAATGAACTGGCCATCGCCTGGTGGAGAGAATATACACGGAGTCTTTATCATGTATATTGAGGAGGTTCCACTCGCCTTCTTTGCCAGGCTTTCCTCGTCTGACCTCCACCCACTTCTCATCGTCATTCCTCATAACAACATACATATCCTTCTTACCTTGAGGGCTAATATAGTAACAGGAAGATCCCTCTTTCTTCAGTAAGACGAAGTTGTGTTTTGTTTTGTCCAGTGGTCTTTCCAACGAGGATTTCAAGGAACGGAGATATACTGCTGGTTTTGTGTCGTGTGTTGCAAACCAATTCATCCGTTTCACAGTGTTCATGACTACTGGTACCATATCCAGATTGTCCATTGTATAGAAATCCTTGTGGCCTTCAATGAATTTAAAAGTGAACGGCCAACGGTCAGGATCAAAGAATGAGGCAAACCGAACATGTTTTTGGTTAGGAAGTACCAACGATTTCATCAAGTTCCTGTCCCGCTCGTGCTCACCTTCCATTCCTTCCGTGACACCCTTTGCCAGGCGGTCAGAATGTCCTGAGGATATAAGCAAAGCGTAGAATTCAAGCATGACGGCGTCACGGAGAATTGCAAGGTGAGAGTACATGTCGATGTACTTGATAACTCTCTCGCTATACATGGACAGTTCTCTCTCTGATTGTGTTGTAGGCTCGTTTTCCATCAATGAAAAAATTCTTGACTCTATTTTTCCTAACGTTTTCACACCGTTGTTTATGTCAATCGTATTAATCACATCCGATATTTCACTTCTGTTTGAACACTCGTCAGAATCAGAGCTCACACCAATAAGAACGTGATGTGCAAAGGAAAATACTCGACATGCGCCATCTACATCGGCTTTCATCACATCATCTCCGTAGGAATCATGAGTGCCTGATATTACCTTAGCCAGCATATCAATCGCGCTAGCACTCCGAAGACCACCATGACATACGACATCACTAGTTGAAGTATTTCGATCCGTAGATGAGAAAATAGAACGTATGAAATTTGCAAACTCCTTTGCAGGGCGTTCGAAAACTGGAGCTAACACTTGAATAGCAGACACGACAGAATTCAAACCAATCAATTTTGTTCCAATGTCCCCGACAAGCATGTTCTTGACACCAAACCTAATACAGCCAAGTTGGGTGAGAATCGTATCCATCTTTCCTCCAATTTCCGACAGATCTTTTAGGATATTTGCCAGAGCATCGGTAACCCTTTCTTTCCCAAGATCGTGTCCAATCTCTTTCAGTTTCCCCAACACTGCCTCGGCCTCCGTCATAGTGATCTCATTATATTCTATAGAAAGGCAAATTAAAAATCGTGAACTTGTGAACTTCATACATCATCTAACTAAGTACATATCAAGAGGTTCTTTAAACAACAGCTCAACGAACTTTCCAATAAGGGGACACTACGATGAATAGCTTGTAGGAAACAGGTCACCGGCAAGGATATACACTAGGTACGCAAGACTGTCAACATGAAGTGAACATTATTCAAATGTTTTATTATTATTTTTCATTTTTTTAACGAAAATGAAATATGACATAAATGCATTACACTTTATAACGAACCAAACAAAGTAAGCAGAGTTGTATATCCATAGTCCGACCACTCTCTTTACAACTGGACCTTTAGAGGGGTTCGCGAGATATATTGTGCGCCATGTTTTCATTTCAAAAGTGGAAGTTGACCTTTAACCACTTTAAACTTGACCGATGACCTCCAACATAATGCACACTGAAGTTGCATTTGATATTGTTTTACTATGGCCTGAGGGATTCATAGGCTGTCTTGTATACCAGATTTTATTTCAAAAAGTGTCCATATGTGACCTTTAAAGTGTACCCTGAGTGTAATTTTATATTTAGATATAATGTTAAGAATGCCGTAAAAATAATAATAACGAAAACCCCGTCAAAATCCGTCGCCCCAGTGTCCAGTTATTAAAGCTCAAAGTTGTCGATTTTCACCTGTCCGCTCAGACCTAATCAGCGTAATCGTCATTTCCGCGGAATCGAGGCGCTTCCACTCGTGACGTCATAAGTTCAACAGAAATGGCAGCCAACATGACTGACAGTGACAACGACACCGTACCTGATTGCGATTTGAACATGAGTTTTGAGGATTCTGATTATGATGTGGATGATATTTCTGAAGACGGAATCCAGCTCTACCGATTTGAACCGGAATTACAAGACGATGTATCCAGTGAACAGGAAAATAACATCGTCATTTAGTCGAACTCTTTTCGGCGGAGTCCGATCCATTGCTTTCATTACACTATAACGAATTGGAAATGAAGTTCCGTCGAAGTGTTTTGAACATAAATATGAATATTTCGTTAGACCTTTCCACATGTATCTCTTCTTCCTGACAAACTGAATCCATTGTTTGCATAAATCTGGCCTCTTTAATGGGAAGACATGCATCGACACCCCATCCGTGTTAGTGTTAGGACGGTGTCGGGAATTTTCGTACCGAAGAATTTTCGTCCGAGGGGAATTTTCGTAGCATTATGGATATATACTAAACAAAAAAAAAGAAAGGTAACACTACTTTATTTTCTTATTAATTAATTAAACCCTTCATAAATCCTTACCAATCATGTACGAATAAAGTAATTGATCAATTCTGATAAAACTGCAGTCATGGTTCATTATAAAACTTTGCGTTCAGTTGATTTTATTCGACTGTAATGGACGTTGGGTTCAATTTCAAAGGTAACACCATTAATAACGGGTATGGCCACCGTTTGCGAAGTAAACAGCATTGCAGCGTTGTCGTAAACCGGCGGATAATTCGTGGAGAGATGTTGTTCAGCGATCAAGGCTTGGGCCAGCTCCTGCAAGTTTGACGGCTGATTTTGACGTTCTCTCACGCGTCGCCCAAGAACGTCCCAGACATGCTCAATCGGTGACAAATCAGGTGATTTAGATGGCCAATCTAACACCTGTACGTTATTCTGCTGCAAGAAAGTTCTGCTGACGCGACTGGTGTGCGCTGGTGCGTTATCCTGTTGAAAAATGGCGCCAACACCATGGCGTCTTAAGAATGGCAGAACCACTGGTCTTAAAATTTCGTCCCGATATCGAATGCCGGTTAAATTGCCATTTAACACAACAAGCCTGGTACGAGTCCCCCCACAAATACCACCCCAAACCATCACACTTCCGCCGCCAAAGCGGTCCCGTTCTGCGACGCAGCAGTTCGCAAAACGCTCCCCTCGTCGCCTCCACATTCTGCGCCTTCCGTCACCGTGTTGCAGACAAAACCTGGACTCATCTGAAAACAGAACATTGTTCCATTGTCGTAAGGCCCAACGACGGTGAACACGTGTCCAGTTACGCCGATTATTACGGTGACGTCGCAACAAATTGGGTCCAGTGTAGGGACGCCGCGCTTTCAATTGGTTGGCCCTCAACCTGTTGCGGACTGTTTGGGGAGACACACGACAGCCAAACAATGTCCTTGTAGTCTCTACTGCGGTTACGAATCGATTGCGCAAGTGTATCAATCGTATACGACGGTCATTCCTGGCGGTCGTTTTACTGGGTCGGCCGCTTCGGGGAAGATCGGATGTTGACCCAGTTTGGTTTAAACGACTTACCAACTGGCAAATTGTCTTAACACTGCAACCAAAATGCCGTGCAACTCGGCAGCGAGACTCCCCAGCCTGGATCATGCATACAGCCCTTTCTCTCTGTACTTGTGACAGCCGAGGCATGATGATAAAGTTGATAGATAGCAAGATTCGGTGATTTCTAAGTCCTAAGGATCTAAGGAACAGTTGTCAGTTTGAATGTTTATGAAATTCAAGCGAATATACGAGTTAGTCGCAGAAAACCTCCTGCAGCTCTTTCGCTAATACAGACTTTCACGCTTGCATGATTTTGGTAACCCCCTTGGATTTTGAAATGTAAAACATTACCATTTTCTAATATTGCACAAACGTCATTTTGTTTTCACTCATTTACAGGTATTCGCCAAGGAAACATGTTAACCTTTCTTTTTTTTGTTGAGTATATATAGATAGAGTGTCAACAACCAATTATAACACCCTCCGCTGTGTTGATAATAAAAAATTGATGTTTTAGAAGTTTATACAATGATTTGACTGGTTTTTACCCAAGTACAGGCGTGTCGTCTCACCATTGTTTTTTCAAGCCACAGAGGCGCTAATTACCTAGGTGTGGTTATGAGTTTAGATAACATCTCTACACATAACCTATTCTATAGTACTACTATATAATAGAAGTACGAAAATTCCCGGGCGGACGGACCGTTAGGACAACCGTACGCTGCACACCGCTTCCCTCCTCGATAGGAAGCCATTTTAGCGGATTTAAGCGCTAATTCACCGACTCCTCGCTCAGTTCCTTAATATTGCGAAGATGTGAAGTACTTTCACGTAAATAAACAAAGAAATTACCTCGGAAAATCCCAGAATAGATCACAATCACATGTAGCACAGTAACGCCAATATGGCTGCATCAGCAAAAGCGTTGAACTTATGACGTCACAGGTTTGGATGCCCGAAAACGAGGTCAACGCCTCTCAGCCAAAGGTGTGTTTTTCAGAAAAGTCGCAATCTCCCAGTAACGGAACATTCCACGACATTCGCGTTTTCACCAATGTGTATTTTATGTGCAGAACTATTTTTTTTTTATCTCAACATAGCTGACCTCTCAGGATACACTTTAAGGTTCTTAGAAGTCAGATAAACAGGAAATTTCTCCATTTTTGTCTCCGCCACAAATAGTGAATTTCCTGTGAATCTCTGTGTGAATATTTCCTCTGTTCATGTTTTGTCCTAATTTTATTAACTTGACATTGGATCAAGCGTTATCATTGAGTTTCTCGCGAATTGTTGTGGAACACTGAGTGACAGGTAAGACACAATTGTGACAGACGTATCATTCTGAGTTTGTATGGCTTATTCAGGCATACTGGCCCTTAGAAAACAGATTGATGCTTCTTCGTAGGGTATTCTGCGAATAGCTGTGCGCTAGATACAGCCTAAATGATGTCAAAATCCTGCGATGACTTCAAAACGAAACAAAGCATATATATATACGTTCTTTCTACAATTTAATCATATTTCACTAGAAACGGCATAGTAGTCTATCTTCAGCATGAATAAGTATATATTTTTCATTATTTGTCAGTTGTTAATACTTCTTGCTGGACGAAGCCATTGTAAAACACCTATCAAGTTTCAAGTTTTCAAGTTTTATAAATCACTCCAGACACACCATAAGTGTGTAACAGGAGGTCAATCATCAGATGCAATCAGATACATTGTTACATATTGTCTGCAAATAATCAGATACATTTATACATAGTGAAATGTGCATACATACCAGCGTACATGTAATGCTGCGTGCATACATACATACACACGCACATACATACACATATACCTACATATATACATACGTACATGCAAACATACATACATACATACATACATACATACATACATACATACATACATACATACATACATACATACATACATACATACATACGTGTACATACATGCCCATACATACTTACATATAATTTTAGATACATACAATTAATTCAGAAATTACTAAGTATTTTTTCTAGTTTTTGTAAAAATTTTGTTACTTTTCGAAGTAAAGGGGCATTACAAATAGTGAACATTCCTTTCATTTTCAAAACACTTGGTTGTTGGTAATAGTATTTAGGTAAGTATTTTTGACGTATTTCTTTAATATAGTCGTTTTCACATTGATAAAGGTAATGATACTCATCGCCAATATTTATATTACATAATAAACAAATTTTTTCCTGGCGAGGTACACCTGTCCATCTACCAGTTTCGATTGGTAACTTACAATTAGATGTTCTAAATCTACACAATGTTTTTCTATCTTCTGGGTTTAGTTTAATCAAATAAGTCTCTAATTCCCATTTGCTTTTAAAGATTGGGTAAGTTTCTCCACGTGAAGAAATATCAGTGTCATGGTACCACTTCTGAATAAACTGATCAATTAATCTTTGTTTAACTTTAGACTTCAAAAAGATTCTATCAACAGTACATATATGTTGGTTATTCCATACACTGCTATATCCAGTGTTATCTAGTATTGACTTTATGGACTTCAACCATTTGAAATCGATTTGATCTTGTGACTGAAGTTTGTTCATTAAATTATAGAGTATACATGATAATTTATTCTCATCTGTAATAATTCTATGCCAAAAAGTCACTATTCGAGTCTTGATATCAATTTCTATAGGATAACGACCAAGTTCCCCATATATCATATAATTTGGGGTATTGCTTCTCAGTTTAAGAATTCTTTTACA